TTAAAACCTTTCCAACTGGAGCTTCTGCCAGCAGAGACAGTCTCCTGCAGCTGGGAACTGTGGGGAAATGTCTCCACCTAGAATCAAGTGTTTCCCAACATCTCAGGCTGCGAGGATGTTAAATCTACCACCGGTGACAGCTCTGAAATCTCCTGGGCAAGGTAGAGATAGGCCCTGCAATGCCAGTATGGTGGGGAACCCACTCAGTGGAGTCCTCCAGGGCTCGGTCCTTGGGCCTATGGTGGGTCAGTAGCGGGAGCTCCTGCGTTGAGCCTCTCACCTCACTACTCCCATCCACCTTCCGGACTCCATGCGTCTCTCCAGGGGCACCTAAGCCCTGGCAAACCCCCTTTTGAGCCCCACTGCAGAGTCCAGGGGTAACGTGTGCTGCCACCACCCCGAGAAGGGACTGTCTGTGTCCTGTGTCCTCAGGGAAACACAGGCCTAATAGTCCTACAGGTACTCGACCCAATACAAGAACTAGGGGCACTTCCCCACGTCAGGGACCAAAAGGAGAACTTTTTTGGTTACAGAGGGTAGGGTTAGAGTAGGGTACAGGGGAGAGCAATATCAGAGAAATCCCATAGAGCAAGCTCCCCTGGCTGGGTAGCCTTTGATCTCGCATCTGAGTTAGTGCAAGCTATAGATCTAGTTGGATCTCAGGTAGCTTCCTCGCAAGTATCGTCCAGAGGATGGTAGAGATCTGGCGCAGAGATTTCCAGAGAGAGAGCGTTTCAGATGGATCAGACTCTCTCCCTTTGTTAGGGTTGGAGTAGGGTACAGGGGAGAGCAATATCAGAGAAATCCCATAGAGCAAGCTCCCCTGGCTGGGTAGCCTTTGATCTCGCATCTGAGTTAGTGCAAGCTATAGATCTAGTTGGATCTCAGGTAGCTTCCTCGCAAGTATCGTCCAGAGGATGGTAGAGATCTGGCGCAGAGATTTCCAGAGAGAGAGCGTTTCAGATGGATCAGACTCTCTCCCTTTGTCCTGATGCTTGTGCCATGCTGAAAAAAATGGCTTCTCTTCCTTCTTGGACCAGGCCCTTATATAGCCTTTCTGACCTCAGCAGCCCAGTCCAATAGAAACCAGCAGTGTTGGCAACTAGCCAACCAATTTAAAAAGCATCACTGGTTGCCTGGGCAGATGAGCAGGGGCTTTTCCCTCCCCCCACTCAGGTGACCAGAGGGACCACACCCTCGGCACCAGGCTTTTGTCACATAGGCAGGGAGGAAAATCCCCCCTCCCTTAGGAATTCAACCCCAGTGTCCCAAGCTGACTGGGACAGATTTCTGAAGAGACACACAGACGGTGGCATTTCTGCCACAGGGACTCCCTTCAACTCGTCCACATCCTTTCCCTAGTACGCGCTCCGAAACTGGACACAGGACTCCAGTTGTGGCCTCACCAGTGCCAATTTGGCCTCATTCAGTGATGGCAGATGACAGGTGGTATTTTCCTCAATTCTCCTGGTTTCAGGTCATGGGCTGAGGAGGATTGAGGTGTGGCACTGGTGTCATCATGATGGCTTTGGTTTTCTCGATCACAGTCCACTCTTTGGTGAGAGAGGCAGTGGTCTGCTGGTTAGAGACGGCCTCTACCTCACTTCACTGACGAGGAGGGTCTTCTCTGCCAGAATGGCTGACCTGCTCGACTGGGCTTTAAACTAAGCCCACCGGGGGATGGGGGGATAACCACCAGAGGAAGCCCACTGGGCAACTTCTACAAAACCAGCAGGCTAAGGCACACAAGGGAATCCAACCCTACCGCAGCTCTGAAACGATGTCTTCCTGGGAGTGTAGGGATGACTAGGGCCTCCAGTGGGACACTTACATGCCTGTACACCAATGCCAGGAGCTTGGGGGACAAATAGGAGGAATTGGTCCTCCTGCTAAACAAGAAAGGATAACGGAGAGCTGGTGGGACTCCACCTATGACTGGCCCACAGGTATAGATGGCTGTACCCTGTATTGGAGAGATTGTGTGGAAAAACAGGATGGGGGTGTGGTACTCTATGTTAAGGAAAGCTACGTGTCCCTGCAAGCTGACATTGGCACCCAGGGAGGAAGACTGATCCTTTGAGTCTATCTGACTTCCTGCCCCTGGGTCAGGGGGCTGGACTCAATGATCTTCCGAGGTCCCTTCCAGCCCTAACGTCTATGAAATCTATGAAGAACAAGGAGCAACAGTTTGCTGTTGCAGCAAGGGAAGTTGATGTTAGATATTAGGAAGAGATTTCTGACTAAGAGAGTAGTAAAACACTGGAGCAGGTTACCCAGAGAAGTGGTGGAAGCTCCATCCCTGGAGGTTTTCAAAACCCAGCTAGACAAAGCTTTGCCTCGGATTATCTAGCTGGGGATGGTCCTGCTTTGAGCAGGACATCGCACTTGTTGAACCATGATATTCCTTTTGGTCCAACCCCCCAATTTGTCTACTTCTCTTGTCCAGCACCTTGGGGAGAAGGTACCCCCGGAAGCGGGTGTCGCAGGTCACTTTGTGGGGGACCCCAAATGGAAGGATGTTAGCCAGTCTCTGGATCTCGTGGATCACGGCGTTGGTGTACGGCATCCGGCCTCGGTCGTTCATGGCTGGGCTGTGGGTCCGCCCTATGACGCGGTCGATTTCCTCATGCACCTTGTCTGCGGAGACAGGATTGGAAGGGGTGGGCTTGGTGTTTGGACCGCAGGCTCTGATCCCCCAGCAATGTCAGTTGTGTAAGGACAGGCCCAGCCTCAGTGAAAACCCTTCCTCAGCCTATCTTGGGTGGGCACTACTGCCTCCAGACGCGCCCATAAGCCTTCCAGGTCTTCCTAGGAGAGAAGGCACCTTCCCAGCTGGATGGTGTCACTAGCCCCTGGTCCGAGGATCCATTGTGTCAAATGCAGCACGGACCCACAGCAAGAGACATTCAACGCCCCCAGCCCACTCTTATCTACAGGCACAAGGTAGAGAGTGATATTCTTTCCATCTTGAGCCAGGGAACTGTCCAGTGTCTGGTCCAGGGCTGCACAAGGCATCTTGGGCAGAGCTGGGAGTGAGATGCAGACCCTTGACATCCCACCCCATCTAACCACCGCCATTGTTCTCCATGGATAACTGTTCTCTGTGCAGGGTTGGTAATAAAGCACCAGCTCCAGCCTCCCTGAAATACAAAGCTAATCATCACAGCCTCATTAGCCATTAGCATCCTAAAAAGGACTCTGGAGAGGGGAGGCAGGAGCAGGGCTCTTACCTGTGCATCTGGTCTGTGCGGCTGGACTTGTGTGTGTGTGTGGATCTCCAGTTCCCTGGTCACCAGCTGATGACTGAACTGGTGACCAGACAGTGTGTGTCAAATTCAGGGTGCACATAGGTACAATAACTTTATTTCCTGTCCACGTTACCTTGGACCTCTGGGTATTTCATCAAGAGCAGGAGTCCGAATCTCAAGGTGGAGCTCGTTGTCTCCGTCCCTCCAAAGAATAACTGGATTGCTGTGTCCACCAGGTTTCTGGTGCTGAATTCACTCTGTGGGTTTTGCTTTTCCTGGAAAGGAGGGAATAGAAAGGACTCCTAGCACATAATGCCCACCTGGCATCTAGTTTGCACCTGGATTTGCCCCTCAACCAAGAATGCCTCTCTTGCCCAGGCTTCACATGACTGTCTAAAGGGGAGGTGTTATTGGGTCTGCTCAAGTTGGTGACTCTAGATCTGAGTTCCCAGCCCGCTGCTTCACAGCTGTTGTGGGTAAGCTCCCATGGAAAGCATCACAAGCATCACGTAGTGGCAGTAGTAACCCTCCTCTGCTTACCTCTTCCATCCTGATGAGGAAGGAGTCAATGAAGTCCCGAGGGCAGCTGGGGTCCAGGCTCTGCTGGTTTATCCTCACCCTTTCCACAATGAAATCGGTGGTTATGAGCCCGATTGTGTGGGCCGGGTATGTATTGCATGATCCTCGGAAACATCTCATAGAACTGGGGATGAGGAAGAGGGGAGTCAGGTCAACGGACTGGAAAGCTGTGTTCTCATTGGAGGATCAGGGGGCACCGTGAGTGAAGACCTGCAGTGGCATCATCCATGTTTATCTGGTTTATGGCGCTCACCTCAATTTTAGAAATGTCTCCCAGAATCCCCAGTCCCTTCCTACCCCATCTGCACTTGCTGACCCATGGGGGGATCTCTTCCTTGGACCCATCTGTTCTTGACCCCCCTGTTGAGTTAGACTCCAGCCTTGCGTGCTGGCCTGGCTTAGGTACTTGCTTGAAGTGTTCCTTATGCCCTACCTGTTGCATGTGTGTGATATTGGCCCACAAGACATTGGCTTTAATCTCTGTTGTGCTGTACTGGCACTGTGCCGGTTGGGAGGTAAGAGCAGGGGCCTCAATTATTAATTGTCTTTGTTGGTGGGAGATGGGGTCTTTGTGAAAAGGCACAACACACAGCAGTTGAGAAACCAGAGGCTATCAAGAGAGTCCCTTCATGGTCAAGGACAACGTGCAGAACAATGGGAGAGGCAGGCTGTCAGCCTGTTGGAGGCCCTGAGTCCCAGGTGAGGACGGAGGTTTGGGATGGCTGCAATGTGGACAGTATAGGGTTGCTTTACCCCATTGGCAGACGCAGAAGAGTCTTGCACACGCCCGATCCTCCTTCTGCCCCAGAAACATCACCTACCAGAGTTGAGATCTTGCTCATATCCAAGAATAAGTTGTTGATGCTGCCCATCAAGTTCAGGAAGTTCTGGTCCTTGTAGTCGAAGCGGCTCCCAAAGACAATGGAGCAGATGACGTTGGCAATCGAGTGTGTGATGGCGAGGCTGGGGTCGAAGGGAGAACCTGGTGATGGGGAGACAACAGGGTCAATGACCACCTTCCTTCCAATCTTATGAGTGTCAAGTTGTGGAGACTCCTGACACCAGGGCAGGTAAAGTTTTAATTATGAGTTTCCCCCAAAGCCTGGGTGAGGGCGTGACCTGGAAACTTCCGCAGATATATGTAGGTTCAGGTTTAGCTGGCTCAGATGCAGCTCGCCGTCGTGGGTGTTGTGATGGGGATCTTGGCACCAACTGCAAACATTTGAGAGGGTAATAGGAGGGGCGAGGAGGCACGGAGCCCTGTCCTATGCAGTGCTGTGCTGTTTGGCACACCTGAGAGAGGGAGCTGGGACTGGGATGTGTCTTCCCATGCTGTCATTGGTGCTGGGGAGTGCAGCAGACGTGTGCCTTTAGAAAGGGAGTTGTGAGCTGCTGGAAGAAGTTCCCCAGGGTCTGAAGGTCCTCAAGGACCAGGGCCCAGCAGTGCTGGGTGCCTGGTCTGGATTTTGAGAAGAACCTGGCATGTCCAGGGTGTCCTCTTGGAGAACTCCCCTGGCAGTGACGGGAGCTGCTGGGCTCTGAGGACTTGGATAAAGCTAGATTCTTCCCTGAGCCGTGGAGCCCTTGAAAGCAGTTTCTGAGGTATTTTATTATCCATGTCCATTAACCAGAAACAGACCAGATGCATTTGAGTTCAGACCCCCAGAGCAGCTCAGAAAGCACCGACCTTTTGTTTTCCCCATCTCCTCTACCAGGTACTGAGATTCTTCCTGGATCCGCTCCTCAATGCTTTTTTTCCCCATCCCAAAATTCCTTAGGGTTGAAGCGGAGAATCGCCGGAGCTGCTTCCACCGTTCCCCGTTAGCCATGACGACACCTGGATGGAGGGAAGTGTGTTCAGAACCAAGTCATGTGATGTCCGGTATCTTTTAAAGAACAAAGTGCATATTGAATGATGCCCTTCTGAAGTGGAGATCAAGTGGATTTGAGGAAGCATCTTCCTTTTCAGCTGGGGATCCCTATCCTTGGCTACCAAGTGCCATTTCTTCAAGAAACTAAGAACAGTTATTCACCTACATCACTGTCTCCAAACATGGCCCCAATTTAGTCATTTAAGTGGGGGTTGAAACCCACTTAGGTTTTATGCTAAGTCCACTGACCACTTTCTTGCTTATTTATCCCGTTACTGTAGAGGGACTGGCTTCTCCCTTTGCTGGGTGTTGTTTCGGCCTCTGCCAAAGTATGTGAGGGCCAGGCATTGGGGGGGTGGCTTGGCTTTATGTTGAGCTTTTATCCCACAGCTCCCAGCAACCTCTGTTTTTTAGGCCTGGGCCCTCTTCACTTGTGTACATCAGGTTCAAATATTCCTGACACCCTCCCCCTTTTGCCCTCCTCTCCCCTGCAAAGCCAGTGGCCCCTTCGGTCCCTGATTCCAAGCTGCTTCCGACCTTTCCATAGTTGATTCCGACACAAAGGATCTTGCTCGTTTCCACCCCTGCCGACCACTGAGGATGCACACACTTCAGAGCAGCCTAGAAGTCCCAGTAACAAGCCTACACTAAGTGGATTCCATTTTCTTTTTCTGAACATCCATCATTTTTGGACAGCATCACATTTGGAACAGTCAAAAACAATAAGAGGAATCTGGAAGGCTATATATCCTGGGGGTGGTTCCTAGAGTGCATGGTAATGCTTTCAAAGGGCATGTGATGACATCAAGCAATGAAGGAAGTCAGTTGGATGGGAAATAACGTCTGCGCCATGGTGGATCATGCACTAACAGCGTGCACCAAGTGCAGTGCTGTGGTGTAGAGGTGCAGAGCTGTGAGGTGAGGGGTCTTCCTACGAGTAAAAGTGACCTGACCTATAGTCAACCTTGAACTGGGTCTGCCATCAGAGCCCAGCCCTTGCTTTTGCTCACCGTGACCATGGAAGAATCTGTCCACTGACTCCATTCTCGCTCTCCCACTGAACTCTTCTCCTTGGTCCACCAGGGCTTCCCTCACGGAGTCGGAGTCACAGAAAAATATGAACTGCCGCGGGCCAAGATTCACCATGAACACGGGGCCGTACTTCTCTCTCACCTGTGTTGGGAATTGGGAGGAATGAGAAGCCAGAATGGTCAGATGCTGCCATGACCAGCAAGGTGCACTCAACCCAGGCAGACGAGCGATATGTGGCCATAGCCTGAGCTGGGTGAGTTCATCGTAAGGTACTGACTCTTGGTGAAACTACACTGTGTAGAAGCGATGGACGTTGGCCCATGAAATCCTGGATCAGTTCATATCCCACATGGAACTGCTGGGCCAGTTGGGCTGTACGGAGACTGCAGCACTGCTAGAGGGATTTCTCCTCACTCTGTTTCAGTAGTGCCCAGACATGAAAGAGGACACGGGAGCCCCTGGTAGTAAGCTGTGACCGTACTGAGGAGGTAGACCTGTCCCAAGGATCTGATGAGGCATGATATTCTGGCCCCATTGACCACTGAGGAGCTGAGCTGGAGGGGTGTGGGCTCTTGGTCACCAGAGCCTTCACACACATGTTTAAGTGGATGTATAAGCCAAAAAGACGTGTCAAGGAGGGAATGCAAGGAACGAAAAGCAGCATGGGACAGAAGCCAGGCCATGTCCTTTAGGTGGTGACTTAAGAAAGGAATGGACTGGCTGCTTAAGAAGCCTTCCCAGTACAGGTTATTCCCATGCACCTCCGCATGTAGTTACATGGCATTTAATAAGGATCTACGTAGGCTGGAGAATGTTATATCATGCAAGAGCCTGGCTGCAATTGGTCACACATCCATCCAGTCCCGTGCCAAGGAAAAGAGCGTGGACTGTGCTGTCGGGTGCAGCCTTTGGCCATCTGGTTGCTTCCTTTTCTGCCCAATTCAAACGGGTCTCACAAGAGGCTCTCTTCATGCCTTAGACCTCTCAGGCATTTTGTTCTTTGCCCCTGAATGTGATGCCGACTGCCAAGGTGAGCCCCGAGTATGCTGGTGGGAGCTGGGTGCCACCCAAGAGCTACCCACGGTTCTGGGTGGGAATTGAGGAGCTTCCTGGAGCGTGGCAGGAAGCAGTGTGAGGAGCAGGGAGTCTGCCAGGGCTCAGCAGCCCCTTCCCTGGGTCTAGAGCCCCCTGAGGGGAGGCCCCTGCCCCCCCCCCCCAATGATGCAGTTTTCTGCAGACCGCTCCAGAGCAGAGCTTGTGCTGGTGGTGATCAGGAGCTTGTGGTTTTTGTCACTCGTGCAAGAGGTCAGTGACCTGGGCACTGGGCTCCTTTCAGCCTTGAGAATCCCTAATATCTATCACGAGGGGCCTTCCTAAGTTACGGCAAGAGGAAGCAATTTTTGTGGCTTGCTTGTGGACCGACAAGCCGATTTTTGCAGTCATATTGCAGCGACCAAGGCCCTTCGCACTGATTGGTGGACGGGGCTGGCCTTGGTGCTGATTGGCAGAAAGGTGCCGGCAGGTGGTGGGACAAGAGGGTGGCTGCCATCTCAACTGTTTGCTGCCCTTTGTCCAGCCCCACCCTTTGGCGCACCTTGGCAGAGGGGTACCGGGGGGCCACTGCCATCTTGGCTGCAGCCCTTTGTGCTGTCCCACCAAGCAGCACCTTCCTCTCTACGGTGGGCTGCAATCTCCTGGGTGATTTCTGGGAAATCATGACCAATGCTGTTTTTCACAGAGATGGCTGGTTTTCCTGAAACCATGCTTTAAGTGGGTCACCCACAACCCCAGTGCCATGCCTGTGGGCTGGGTGGGTGACGGGGCTTTCTCCACACCTCCTGCTGCAGCCATGCCCTGGGCAACCAGCAATGATCTAGATGGGGACAGCGAGCTAGGGGGAGCTCAGTGAAGATTGCTCTTTCCTACAAAGTGGAGGGGAGGTCAGAGGGGGAGGGAATCTGGGTCCAAGTCCCAGGCATCAGCACGGTATCTGTTTTTAAGCCATTGCATGATCAGTCCTGGGAGCCGACCCTGCAGGTATGCACGTAGTCCCGAGCTAGCGGGGTCTGCACGACCGCAGGTGCTGAGCTCTGCTAGAGCTCCTGGGTGCCATTCCCTGCCCTTTCTGAGGAGCAGGTGGTGGGGGAAATGGCTCCCCAGGTAGAGCAGGATGAAGGTGAGGGCTCTGGGGTGGAAATTACTCACCTTCCACAGTATTTCAAGCATGCCCTTGTTCCAGGCCTGCAGCAGGTAGCCAAGGAGTTCAAGAAATGTTGGTCCTGGGGGGAGTTTGCTTGTTCGTTGCCTCCGTTTCCACTCCCAGAAGACCATGAGGCAGGCAGCGCAGGCTGCCAGGAGGATAGTTGCTGCGTCTCCAAGCTCCATCGTGCCAAAACTCTTGCAGAGCGAGAGCAGTGCCAACAGGCGTCTGATTTATCTACTTCATGCTCACCTGCCTGTGCTGTATATGTATATATACCGTACCAGGCGAGCAACAGCCCCACATTAGGGAGTCACGAGGAATTGGCCAGCATGGCCATGAGGCATTATCATATCTAGCTCCTGAGTTGTCAGAGGTGAATGTGTGACATCTGAGAGGCTCTGGGATGGCTGCACGTGCATCTGCTTCCTGTTTGTCCAAACGTGTGACTCACATTAGACCCTACTCTCCTGCTCAGGAGCGAGTCAAGACTGCAGTCGGAGCCCAGTCCTGAATCACCACCTCCATGGTAGATCCTGTCTCCTGAGTCTACTCTGAACTCTTCCGCGTGGCCCTCCAGGCCTTCCTTCAGGGCCACAGTTACCATTGGGCACGGATGGTTCTTCCTAGGTCCAGCATCTCTAGGTGCTAGTGACCAAGTCTTTTCTGTTGCTTGTCTCCTCTAGACCTTCGAGCACTTCCTAGCGAAGCCGACACCTTCCCAGCTGGATTTGCTACCTGAAGGGGGCTGCCTGGCCCTGGTACCTCGGTGACCATTGTGTTCACATGCAGTGCAGACTCAGTAATAGACAGTCCCTGCCCCAAAGCCCTTTGGATCTGCAGACATAAGGCAGGAAAGGATGGGATACTCCTTCCGTCTTGGAAGCGGATGCGTTGAGGCTCTATTTCATGTGACCTGCCCACAGGTGCCGAGTGGGGGATGAAATCCAGATCTTTGAATGCCAGCCCTCATCTAAATGCCATCTTCTCCACACAAGGCCTATTTACTTGTCACATTTGCATTCTAGCACTGGCTTCCAACCTTGCTGAAGATCCAGATGACCCAGTGCTGCCATGCTCTAGATTGACAAGAGAAACCCCTGAGCTGGGGCTAAACCCAGCACTTTGGAGAATTAGCCCCTGCTGTCCCCAGCCATTCTCCAAACACAAAGAGAATGCATGGCTGCTTTGGAAAAGTTTTATTGTCAGCAGCTGCTGGAAATGTTCAGGAAGAGACAAATCCCCTCAGAAGTGAAAGCCCAAGCGGTTGTTCCTAGCACGGCGGCAGGAATCCCCCCCCCAGCAATTCCCGTGCCCTGCTCCAACCAGCAAAGCACACTGCCTCCTGCAGCCATGGACCCTGGATCCCAGGTCCTCCTCTCCGCCGACTAGGACATGCATGCAGGGCGGGAAACAGAACCCGGGAGTCCTGCCGCAAGCCCTGTGTTCAATCCAAAAAGGAAGCACATTCATCCCAAAGGCTCTCCGTTTTCCCCCACCACCTGCTTGCTGCTATTTCTGCACTATAGAAACATAAAAAGAATCAAGGGAAATGCCATGAGTACAACAGCCAGAAAGGGGCAGAAGCAACTCCTAAAGGTAAGGTCTTGTGTGAAGTCTTCCTCTGTGACACGTGTCCATGTGCTGCCTTAGGGTCAGGATGTCCTTTGTCCTGTCCCTGCTGTCCTAGGCTGTGTGCTGCAGCCCTTCCTCCTGTGGGAGGGTGCACAGCTCGTAGCTGGCCGGCACAATCCCAGTTCCACTCTCTCTGGGGGTGAGGGCAATTTCCTGCACGGGTATTGGCGATTTCAGGGTGAAGTGCTGCAAGACGATGGTTAGCATCAGGAAGATCGCCATAGGCGCCAATCTCTTGCTAAGACACTTCCTCTTTATTGCAGAGATAAGCAGAGCCAAGGGTGAATGAAGGCACTCTGGTCAGCAAGCATTTAAGAATGGGACCTGGCTGAGCTATACTCCTGGGAAGGTCTCTGGATACCGATGGATGAGAGGGTAGATACCGTTCTCATGTGCCTCTCGTTTGGTCTCATGACCTACAATGTACAGACCTATGGGCTCCCTGGACCAACACAGCCAATTTGGGATGAATTTATGAGGTCTCTTCTGACCCTCCTTTGGGGCACAAGGCCCCCATGCCCCACATCCTGCCCCCCCATCATGCCCAACACACTGGGGGCCTGAGTTCTCGGGGTGAGGGCAACAGGTCAGGAGTGGGGAGCACCAGCAAGGCTGGGACATTGGGGGCGGTGGGTGGGGAGTGAGGGGCCCAGGAGGGCCAGAGGGCTGTTTTCTACTTAAACTGTTTACAGGGTCAGGATTGGCCATCTGTTTATGAATGTGTTGTGATACAAGAAAAGATTGAGAACCACTGATCTCTGGGGTGGGAAGCCACCCAGAATTCAGATGTCATCAGGGGCTTGGCTACTCAAACCCTTGCACTGCTGTCTCCTGGGTTGGCAGGGAGGAGTGCATCACTTCTCGGGCCAAAGGCACCTTGGCCTCTCCATCCACACGTTGGCACCCATGTAAACCAGTACAGCCGGTTCCATGCTTGGGTTGTCGGCGACTAAACCAGCACCCCCACCTGGGCTAGCCTGCGTGAGGATGGTGCGTGGATGCCCAGCAGGACTGAAAACCAGACCTGTCAAAGGGCGGATGAGCTGCCTGTGGGCCAAGGGCCATCCATCTCAGGAGAAGAGATGGGTGCCGCCAGGTCACTCTGCCTGAAGAATCACCAACTGTCCCAGCCGTGTGCGGAGGGTTCGGGATTGAGAGTACGGTCGGGGGTAGAAAGGTAAGAAAGATTTATTGACATCAAAAACACAACTATGCGTAGTAACAAGACAAACAATGACAGACGAAAGCAATTCGCATCAGCAGCTTATCGGCAGTCCCCTCTGATGCCTGATACACAGCAAGCTTCTCTTTCCACAAAGTTCAGCGAAGTCAGACATCCCTGAACAGCGCTGTCCGAAGGGTACCAGGAAGGACCCTGGAATGCAGTCCTTGGGCTCCTCAAGGTCCGCGGCCTCACTGGTCCAGGCAACAGCTAACTAATCCTTTTCGCAGAGCTGTATCTTCCTTCTGAATGGTTTCCAGATATTCCAGCCAATTTAAAGCTTCTGAATGGTTCTGATAACATACAACCACTCAGATTCCTTTTACTTCAACTGTCCTTAGACTGACCAATAGCAATACAAGCCTTGCATTCCTTTGATAAGGTAATTTTAACTATGCCACAGGGCCTTACTACTTCAAGGCTTTGCTTAATTTACTAGGTCTTACTTTATACAAGGCTTCACTATATCTTAGATGTTAATTAGGCTTTTAGCAACAACATATAGGTTAATATCTAAACAAATACAGAAAAACACCTGGTCTAATCTTCATAGAGCCTTCAGTAAGCACCTTTATCACACAGGCATACTTTTCAGCTGTCACATCAACGATGCAAAGCAATTCAAGTAACCCAGGAGGGTTCTTACTGTGGCAGAAAGGCCACTGTCTGTGCCCCTCTCCAGAGATCTGTCTGCCAGCATGTGACGCTGGTGTTGAATTCCTCAGGGCGGGGGATCTGCCTCCCTGCCTACATGACAAAAGCCCTGGTGCCTGGGAGGCAGATGCTCTGGTCACCTGGGGAGGGGGAGGGAACAGCCCCGCTCACTGGCCCAGGTAGCCAGTGATGCTTTTTTAGATTGATTGGCGAGTGGCCGGCACTGGCAACTTCGATTGGACCGGGCTGCTGAGGTCAGAGAGGTTATAAAAAGGCCCAGGGAGGCACTTGGAGCCTGGAAGGTGGTCAGGCACAGTGACATGGGCGGCTCGATGCAGGCTCTCCACATGTGGTGGTAGTGGTGGGATCCGAATACCCTGCTGTATTAGAGGCATAATTTGGGGAAAGGAATAGAGTCACTGAAATCCCTTGAGCAAACAATTTCTAATTTGGCATCGGGTCGACTGGATAGGGTAGAGAGTCAGGATGGAGGACGAGTATGTCCGGATGACCGTGCCTGAACTGAAAGAATTGGCAAAAGAGAGAGTCCTTCATGTGAAGAAAGGGCTAAAGAAGGAAGAGCTGGTTAAACTCTTGCGCACCAGCGAGTCAGAGCAAGCGTCAGCTTCACGCCTGATGACTCCTGAGTCCGACCCAGGAACACACTCCCGCTCGTCAAGTCCGGAGGCCGCCGAGATATCACCCCCTGAGGGGGAGCGGCAGAGACTCCATGAGCTGGAGTTAAAAAGGCTGCAGCTGGAGGAAAAGAGGGAACAACGACAGCTGGAGGAGAAGAGGATGGAGATGGAGGCAAAAAAGCTGGAAGCCCAGCGTGAGAAGGAGAAGGAACAATGACAGCTAGAAGCGAAAAGGATGGAGCTGGAAGCCCAGCGTGAGAGGGAACAACGCCAGCTGGAAGAGAGGAGGATGGAGAGGGAAGCCCAGCTGGAGGCAAAAAAGCTGGAGCTGGAGGAGAAAAAGCTGGAGGCTCAGCTCCGTCTGCAGCCCAACGGGGGAAACGCGAGCCCTCCGCAAGTGTCCGGGGAACGCCCCAAACTGGACGTCTCCGCCTTCGCTCGCTACCGAGACGGAGACAATCCTGCGGTGTTCCTAAGCAACTTCGAAAGACAAGCCCAGCGGTGCAAGGTGCCAGAGGAAAAGATCATGATGTACCTGTCTGCTCTGGTAGAAGGCGACATGGCGGTGATCCTGAACAGCCTGCCCTCAGACGCAGTTGATGACTATAATGCCTTTAAGCTGCGGTGTCTAAAAGGTTCCAGTTAGGACCGGACTATTTTTGGAAAAAATTCCGGAATACGCACCCACAACCCGGAAAGTCATTGACTGATGATGCGGTCCTGTTGGAGGACACATACACTAAATGGTTAGCCGAAGCCAAGGTTGACACTTTAGATAAGGCACGCCATCTCATGGTGCTGGAACAATTCTATTTTTGGTGTCCAAGAGAGGTTAAGACCCTGGTCAGGGACAGGGACCCCAAAAACGCTCACGAGGCTGCTGAAATTGCAGACCGACTGTTGCTAAACCGTGAGAGGCCTCCCTACTCTGGGAAGGAACACAAAGGGTCCAAAGAGGGGGGAAGGGAGGCCCAGGTCAAAAAGGGGAAAGAGGGCCACCTCCTGCCGAGCGCAAGGCGGCCCCAGATTCGGACAG